GACAATTGTTTCTCCACCTGTATTTTTTTTCAACTAATGTTAGATGTCCTCTAGTGCATGATAAAATGTGCTTTCCCTTTGTGGAAATAAACACCTCATTTAATCACTGCTTATTTTTATCTTAAAAAAAATTATAACACATTTTTAAGCTAAGACATTACGTTGCTAGTTTTATAGTTACTTTTTTTTAATTCGTGAAATATATTTACGCCTACTCCTCACTTATCATCTATCTCATTATCCGACATTTCACATTTACAACAGTTAGAAAAAAAATCTACTCTCTGACTATTTTGTGCATTAACAATGTACTTCTGGCAGTGACAAACGCTGAGGTGTGAGGCAGGAGTAACACTGGCTGTTATGGTTAAGGTTATGTGTCAATTTGCCTGGACCATGATTCTCAGTGATTTTTCAATTATGTAATGATGTAATTTGGCAGTTACATAATGATGAAGTCATCCTCCATTTTGTGATTTGATGTGGTCATCCTCAATTTTCCATAATGCCAATTTTTGCATAATGACCTGGTCTTTGGAACGTAGCCATGTCAATAAGTGAGGAGTGGATGTACAAAGAAATCCACAATTAAGCATATTATATAGAAATTGCTGGAAACAAAAGCATAAGAGAACATGTTAATAGTTTCAGAGAAAAGGATACAGTTTCTTCGAAGAAGCAGGAATTAAACTGACAATGGATTCTCAACAGAAATGATTTTCATCCTGATGCACTATATGCTGCAGGGAACTCTGCTAGGAAGTCTGGATCCATGTCAGGAACCTGCATCCCAACTGAGAAATGAAGCCTTCATCCTCTCTGCCCTCAGGTCTCCCTATCTCCCTCGTTCTATCATTCCTCTCACTTTTGAAAGTATCCTGAGGTGGTCATGCTTGAGGATTATTCTTAAAGATCCACAGTAGTATTCAGTATTCTACTTTTGCTTCCTATCCTCCTTTATTCTGGGCAAAAACTCACCAAACCTGTTGCCATCAAGTCGATTCCAACTCATATCAACCCTGTAGGAGAGAGTAGTATTGCCCTATGGAGTATCCAAGGCTGTAATCTTTACAGAAGCAGACTGTCACATCTTTTTCCCCCGGAGAGGCTGGTGGATTCGAACTGCCAACCTTTTGGTTACCAGCCATTTCTTAAGCACTGCACCACCAGGGCTCTTTATGCTAAGTAGATGGAAAAAAAATGCTTATAGTTTATCTCTTTTTTTTTTTCAGTGCTATGCTCTTTAAAGCAAAAATTAAGCCCTTGCAACTAAGTTTTTTTTTTTAATTTTCTTTTAGACTATTTTCAGTGGCAACAACTATAGAATATCCATAGAGGAAGAGGTAGATGTGGCTAGCTTGGTATAAGATTCCTAAGGTGTATATTCAGTGTGATATTCTTATTTTGGAGCTATACTTATTTAGTGAGTTTTTTGTTTTTAATCTAGGTAGTAGCTGGAATAGGGGAGGGGGTGCTGATAGAGAGCCCCTTCACGTCACCCCTGGGCTTTCCCACTTCTGTCTTTGACTTACCTTCTAAACATTAGTTTTGAAATTAAATAGCTCTGTATTGACTCATTGATGTTTCATGCAATTCTGAAATAACAGTCCTATGTTGTTGTTGTTTTGTGATTTTGAGTCCATCCTGACTCATACCGACTCTATAGGACAGAGTAGAACTACCCCATAGGGTTTCCTAGGCTGTGATCTTTACAGGAGCAGATTACCAGATCTTTTCTCCTATGGAGGGGCTGGTGAGTTCGAACTGCTGACCTTTCAGTTAGCAGCCAAGTGCTTAACCATTGAGCTACCAGGGATCCTTAACAATCCTATGCTGAGGGCAGTTTGCCTTAAATGTACTACCTGTCTGGTCTGGAGAAGGATTTGGATATGCAAATCACAGAGATAGAAAGAGAGAGAGAGAGAGAGAAATCTAAAAATAACCACACATGCAAATACTAGCAAAGAGAATAAAAAAGACAACTGAACAGAGCCACAGATGATCCAAATGTTATGGTTATTAGACAGTGATTTATAAATTGGATCATCTTATCACAAACCTACTGTTAGAAATGTAACCAAAATCCACCTAGAGTTCACATATCAATCTGAATTCACAAAGGTATGAGCTATACAAGCCTGTATGGATTTCTAGGACAGGTGACCTGTGGGTAGTACCTGGATGAATGGCCCAGTGTCAACACACAGTCTCTTTATTTTGTATTGAAACAAACTATCAAACAATGACAACAAAGTACCCATGGCTATTTACAAGAAATTTATTGCTAAGTCCTAGATAAGTGTGATTTTTTTTTTTAACTAATTGAACCTGCATCTAAAGGACAATGATTCCCTTTTTCTTTCATTGTGCTGTTGCTACTCTTCTTTTACCTTCTCCTTTGAATGCTGTCATCAACTTAGCTACTTGCTATAGCAAGACTAATTATTATTTTTTAATATTTTATTGTGTTTTGGGTGAAAGTTTACATAGTAACTTAGGTTCTCCTTTAAAAATTTTTATACAAATTGTTCTGTGTCATTGGTTACAATTTTTACAATGTGTCAGCATTCTCATTATTTCCATTCTGTTTTTTCTATTTCCATTGATCTAACTTCCCTTCCCTTCCTTACCTTCTCATCTTTTCATTTGGGTAGATGTTGACCATTTGGTCTCATTTAGTTAATTGTTCAAGGGAGCACATTACTCATAGGTGACATTGTTTATTTTATTAGCCAATCTATTATTTGGCTGAAAGGTGACCTGCAGAAATAGCTTCAATTCCAAGTTCAAATGATATCTTAAGGTATTTGTCTCAGGGGTTCCTCTAGTCTCTTTTGGTCCAGTAAGTCTGGCCTTTTTTAGGAATTTGAGTTTTGTTCTACATTTTTCTCCCATTCTATCTGGGACCTTCTATTGTGTCCCTGGTCAAAATAGGCAGTACTGATAGCCAAGCACCATCTAGTTCTTCTTCTCTTAGGTTAGAAGAGGCTATGGTTCATGTGGGCTATTAGTCTTATTGACTAGTTTCTTCTTTGAGCCCTTGATTTCCTTCATTCTCTTTTCCTCCATATGAGTAGAGACAAATAGCTGTATCTTAGATGGCCACTCACAAGCTTTTAAGACCCCAGACGCTACTCATAAACTAGGATGTAGGACATTATGTTTGTGAACTATATCATGCCAGTTGTCCCTCAAGACTACGGTCTCAAACTTTTAACCCAGTAAACCAATACCACAAATTATTTGGATATATCTAGGAAGTCTCCATAACTGTGCCCCTTATGTGGTTTTTTTTTGTTTTACTATAAGTGGATATATATGCAGCACACAAATGTGTATATATATATGCCTACAGATACACCTATACATCCATGTGCATTACTTGCATATGTCTTCCTATACACATATATGCATCCATATCCAAATTGTTTACATAACCAAACACGTATTTTTTGGTTGTTGTCATGGATTGAATTGTGTCCTTCAAAAATATATGTCAGCTTGGCTAGGCCATGATTCTTAGTATGATGGGATTATCCACCATTTTGTCAACTGACGTGATTTTTCTATGTGTTGTGAATCCTACCTCTATGATGTTAATAAGGCAGGATTAGAGGCGGTTATGTTAATGAAACAGGACCCAATCTATAAGATTAGGCTGTGTCTTGGGTCAGCCTCTTTTGAGTTATAGAAGAGACAAGGGAGCAGAGAGACATGGGGACCTCATGCCACCAAGAAACAAGAGCCAAGAGAATAGCAAGTCCTTTGGACCTGGGGTCCCTGCACTGAGAAACTCCTCGACCGGGAAAGATGAATGACAAAGGCCTTCCCCCAGAGCTGACAGAGAGAGAAAGCCTTCCTCTGGAGCTGGCACCCTGAATTTGGACTTCTAGCCTCTGAGACTGTAAGAGAATAAATTTCTCTTTTTAAAACCATCCACTTGTGGTATTTCTATTATAGCAGCACTAGATAACTAAGACGATTGTTTTTACTGTTGTTACAAAGTTGTATGTCATAGCATTTACCAAAATTGTCCCTTTTTCTCATACACATATTAGTTGTGCTGACTTCACCCATATTTGGGATTGCCTTTCTCATCATCAAAAGTAACAAGTGTCTACTATCTAGAAAGTGATTTCCCCTCCCTCTCCCTCCCATCCATAGTAACCATCAAAGAACTTTGTTTTCCGTGTGTATATCTATTCTTGACTTTTTATAATAGTGGGACCATACAATATGTGTGTGTGTATATATACATATACACACACACACCCACTCCTCACTTATCAACAAGATTAGGTTCCAAAGACCAGGTCATTATGCAAAAATAGGCATTACGCAAAAATGGAGAATGACCATATCAGAGCACAAAATGGAGGATGACTACATCATTACATTATAGCCAGATTACATCATTACATAACTACCAAACCACTGAGAATCATGGCCCAGCCAAGCTGACACAGAAATTTAATTATCACAGCCAATGTTACTCTCACTGTACACCTTAGTTTTTGTTACTGCCAGATGTATGTCGTTAATACACAAAATAGTCAGACAGTAGGTTTTTAACTATTGTCATAAATGTGAAATGTCTGATAACAAGATAGTCTGTAATTGAGGAGTAGGTGTATATATCACTTTGATGTAGTCAATATATGTCCTGAACTGTTTGTGAGCATGAATAGTTATTTCATTAAAATTAGCAGAACACAACACTTTAGTGCATATTAAAGCAAGTAAAATGAATTTCATGGCATTATAATTAAAAGAAACTGCAACAAGTTAACACTATTATACCAGAAGCATAATTATCAGCATCCTCTGTGGATTTGGGGGTACAGGCATGCCATTTAAGAATTACTTTCTGATTTAAATTGTTTCATCAAAAAAAGTAAAAGAGGTATTTCGTATATTTTTCTAATGAATTACAACCTCACAATATATTTGAGATTTTTTTTCCAATTTTCCAATAAAAATTTATTATTCCTATCCTCTAGGCAATACAGCCAAAGTGTACATTGAGATTCAGGATGAAAATGATCATCCCCCAGTGTTTTCAAAAAAATTCTACATTGGAGGTGTATCAGAAGATGCAAGAATGTTTACCTCTGTGCTGAAAGTACAGGTATGAGAATATATATTAAGATACAGATCTAAAGTGAAAGCAAAGAGCTCAGATTTTGCAGATAAATTATAAACATGTAACTTGCATAAGTGTGTACTTACTCATATTATTTAAACAAAAGCCTGAAACTTGAAGATGTATGACTTTAATTGTCCAGACTTAATACAGATTAATTAAATGAACTGAATAACAAGCACATTTTTATCCTTTTTTAAACCATAAAACATGAGAACAAATCATCTATGATGTTTTATATTGAACAAGATATTTTAAAAATATATGTTTTTTCTAGTATATTTTTATGCCTCTGTTAAGTTTTTAATTTATTTTTAACTTTAGGATAACTTCAGTGAATCTCAAAATTTCATGGGGAGGGAGTTTAGAGGCTAAAGAAGTTCAGAGACTCAGTTGCAGAATAGTTTTTATGAACGTATTTTAATAATCGGTTTTTAAATAACTACAAATATATACACATAAAATCTAAATATTCCTGAATAAACCCTGATGTTGATTGTCTTTAGTTTTGCACACAGGTGGTTTCTCTTCTTTCTCTATTACGAGAACATCGTCCCCCACATGTCTGTCAGTTTGTCATATGTGGGGGCTTGTATGTTGCTGTGATGCTGGAAGCTATGCCACTGGTATTCAGATACCAGTAGGGTCACCTGTGGCAGACAGATTTCAGCTGAGCTTCCAGACTAAGACAGACTAGGAAGAAGGACCCAGCAGTCTACTTCTGAAAAGAATTAGCCACTGACTGCTCTGACAGGGATCATAACAGTGGGTCCTGGGCAGAGCTGCAGAAAAACATAGAACAATTTTAACTCAAAAAAAAAAAGACCAGACTTACTGACCTGACAGAGACTGGAGAAACTCCAAGAGTATGGCCCCCGGACACGTTTTTAGCTCAGTAATCAAGTCATTCTTGAGGTCACCTTTTAGCCAAAGATTAGACAGCCCCATAAAACAAAACGAGACTAACGGGGCAAACAGTCCAGGGACAAGGACTAGAAGGCAGGAGGGGACAGGAAAGCTGATAATAGGGAACCCAAGGTCAAGAAGGGAGAGTGTTGACATGTCATGGGGTTGTTAACCAATGTCATAAAACAATATGAGTACCATCTGCTTAATGAGAAACTATTTGTTCTATAAACCTTCATCTAAAGTACAATAAAAAAAAATTAAAAAAAGAAGTACACAAGAATAAAAGATGATTTTAGTAAACACTATAACATGTACAATTTTTCAACAACAATAATAGCAACCAAAAAATATGTGTCTGATTACATTAGGTAGATATATAGGTGTATAGGAAGGCACATATGAGTATATGAGTGTGCATGTATAGGTGTACCTGTAGGCGTATGTATATACATGTTTGTGTGTACGGTATATATATTCATTTACATAATAAAGCACATATGGGGTACAGTTACAAATACTTCCTAGACATAACCAAACACCTTGTGAGATTGGTTTACTGGGCTTGAAGACTTAGGACAATAGTCTCGTGGGACAACTCGTCAGTTGGCATAACGTAGTTCATAAAGATAATGTTCTATATCCTAGTTTGGTGAGTAGTGTCTGGGATCTTAAAAACTTGAGAGCAGTCATCTAAGCTACAACTATTCCTCTCCAATCATCTGGAGCAAAAGAGAAAGAAGGAAACCCAAGACTTAAAGAAGAAACTAGTCTACAGGACTAATAACCCACAGGAATCATGGCCTCATCTATCCTGAGACCAGAAGAACTAGATGGTGCCTGGCTACCACTACTGGCCATTTTGACCAGGGACAATAAATGGTCCTGGATAGAATAGGAGAAATATGTAGAACAAAACTCAAATTCCTAAAAAAGGCCAAACTTACTGGACTGGTAGAGACTAGAGGAACTCCTGAGATTATCGCCCGGAGATACCCTTTAAACATGGAATTGAAGCCACTCCTGGAGGTCACCTTTCAGCCAAATAATAGATTCATTCATAAAATAAACAATATCACCCATTAGTACTGTGCTTCTTTAAATAATCATCTATATGAAACCAAGCTGTCAACATTTACTCTAAGGCAAAGATAAGAAGGTAAAGGGGGGCAAAGAAGTTAGGAAAAAAAAAGAATTATCCACTGAGAACCTTATGAATAGCCGTGGAACGTTGTCTGATAAATAGTGCCAGAAGATGAGTCCCCCAGGTTGGAAGGCACTCAAAAGATGACTGGGGAAGAGTTGCTTCCTCAAAGTAGAGATAACGTTAATGACGTGGATGGAGTCACACTTTCAGGACCTTCATTTGCTGATACGGCACGACTCCAAATGAGAAGAAACAGCTGCAACTATCCATTAATAATCGGAATGTGGAATCTACGAAGTATGAATCTAGGAAAACTGGAAATCGTCAAAATTGAAATGGAATGTATAAACATCAGTATCCTAGGCATTAGTGAGCTGAAATGGACTAGTATTGGCCATTTTGAATCAGACAATCATATGGTCTGTTATGCTGGGCATGATAACTTGAAGGAGAATGGTGTTGCATTCATGGTCAAAAAAAACATTTCAAAATCTATCCTGAAGTACAAAGCTGTCAGTGATAGTATAATATCCATACACCTACAAGGAAGACTAGTTAATACGACTATTATTCAAATTTACGAACCAACCACTGAGGCCAAATATGAGGAAATTGAAGATTTTTACCAGCTTCTGCAGTCAAAAATTGATTGAACATGCAATCAGGATGCACTGATAATTACTGGTGATTGGAATGTGAAAGTTGGAAACAAAGAAAAAGGATCGGTAGTTGAAAAATATGGCCTTGATAATAGAATGATGCCAGAGATCCCATGATAGAATGTTGCAAGACCAGTGACTTCTTCATTGCAAATACTTTTTTTCACCAACATGAACAGTGACTATACACATGGACCTTGCCAGATGGAATACACAGGAATCGAATCAACTACATCTGTGGAAAGAAACGATGGAAAAGCTGAATATCATCAGTCAGAACAAGGCCAGGGGCCAACTGCAGAACAGACCATCAATTGTTCATATGCAACTTCAATTTGAAACTGAATAAAATTAGAACAAGTCTACAAGAGCCAAAGTATGACCTTGAGTATATCCC